AAAAAACTTCTTTACTGTGAGAGTGACAGAGCACTGGAACAGGCTGCCCAGAGAGGTGGTGGAGTCTCCTTCGCTGGAGACACTCAAAACCCACCTGGATGTGTTCCTGTGTGATGTGCTCTAGGTGATCCTGCTCTGGCAGAGGGGTTGGACTAGGTCATCTTTCGAGGTCCCTTCCAACCCTTAAGATTCTGTGATTAGCTGATCCTATGCCCTCAACAACCAGTGTGGTACTGTTAAATGCTGATGTTGCATCCAATTGACTGGACATGTTGCCTCACTGTCCCATGGGCTCTGTCTAATCTGTCCCTCTGTGTCTAAAATGCTTTTACAGTTGGTCATTTCTGACCTTTTCAAATAATATAATTCTGAGGTAATCTTCTCCTCCTTTTTCCTCTCAAGTTCTAAATCCTCATCATTTCCATTTACAGAAGTAGACACAAACTCATGACTGGACTCAGTATTTCCATAAAACAGTCCATTCATTATTAGAATAAGGCACAAGCTGTCCAGTCTATCTCCCCAGTGCAACACCTAGAGTCAAGAATATTCTAATGCTCCGTACTGTGAATTTGTATAGAGAACCTCTAGGAACTAAGCAAGAACCTTCTAGGGCCAATGGCCCAACAAACTCAGGGTTTAACACACTGACATTTTTGTTCTCCGAACCATTTTTCCACTCTGCTGATGCTTCTTTATAACTCTAAGCATATATAAATCTCTGTCTGAAGAATGAAAGCAGCTTGACAAGTTCTATTATTATTGAAAGAAAAATGCTACAACACTCAGAATCCTGGTATCAGCTGAAATAGATACAGAGCTATAATAATTTCATCTTACTCATGCACATAAAAGTTGAATTAATGCCAGTGGTATGTATGAAGAGTAAAGAATATATACTACTGACTATGTTTGTCAATCACAACGAACAGCATCCTTGCTGGCAGACTTATGAAAATATTCAATTGTGTAACCATTGCTTCTTGAACTAGATTTATTAAAATATTTAAAAGATGGCACCTGTCGAAAAAATTCTTCCATCAGGGCCATGGTCCACCGGTAGTGCAGTTCCCAGGTTTTTGCTGGATGGCTTATGTCTGCTGCATGTAGAATCAAAGACATGGCTTTGGCTTTGTCTACCCTGTCAATTCAAGGACATGTTCCAATTATCTCAAAACAAAAGCAACTATTTACAATATTTTCTTCTACATGAGTTTATTGAAAGGCTATAGATAATGAACAGAATGGTAAATAACCTACCCCTCTGTCTGCTGTAGAATGTGTCTCATTGTTTTAATTTGTTGAAAATGACCCGACATATCTGTAGACAAGACCATCTCAATGACCAAGCTACGCAACTCCCTAAGAATAATTAAAAGCAAAATGACTGATTACAATTCATTTTTTTAATGTATGGTACATTTGTTTAAGTGGTAGTCGTTAATTTATAACTTTCTAAACAACATCATGGGATTTATTACGTTTTCAAAAGCATTTGAAGAAATTATTAACAACTTGAATGCTGTATCCTAAAGGGATTCTGTAAAAGGACATACTTCAGAAAATGCACTCTGCAATCACTGTTTCAGAGTTAAATTGTTTTGTAATTCCTCTCTTTTAGTGTACAAACTAAAATTACATGCAGCTTTGTCACTCATTATAAGTCTTTCCTTATCTTTCCAGCAGTAGAGCTTTCAAAAGACCAGCCAGACTGTGGTTCTACCACCATACAAGAGGATATATTTGGTCTCTAATTACCACTACCATATTAGAGCAGTGCAGGCATACCACTAAACCTAGGAAGAAGGTTATGGAAACACTCAGAAGAGCAAGAGGTATTATATCTGAAACTGTATCAACATTATACCAATATATGAAAATTATTATAAACTACACTTAATCTCAAAAATACCTTAAAAAATACCTTAATGCCTATTTCATGAATCATAACAAGTTCAGGATTTATAATTTATCTGTATCTTGGTATTAGGGTCAGAGATGTTAGCTTGTCCAACAGCTTTCTGTTAAATGAACATGAAAATAGTAAAACATGAATCATCTCAGAAAGCATAAATTCTCACTGTATATAAAAGTATATTAATTTTGTCAACAATAATTACTGGTTTAGACAATACTATCTCCTTGATGTAGAAGTATTGGACAGGGACCATGTAGGAGTCTACTCTGTCTTTATTTACATGCTTTTTAAATGGCCTAGGAGGATCTTCATGCAAGTGTAGCTCATATGTATATTGGGGACAACTCATCACATTAAATCTTTCATTATGTACCATATATCTTCATGCACACACTCTCAGTCTTAAGGATGTCTAAGTATCAATTACAACAGTAGAATCTTACCATAGTCATTCTCACTGATCTTTCATATTGTATTAATATCTTTGATTTACTTAACAATGCAGTTTTTTCAAAGGACTACATTGTAAAGAGGTAAACTTAAGTTTTCTTTAGCGTTGTTAGAATAGTTAATAAAAAAAATTATCAAGACTGCTTCTGAGCCAAAATAATTGCAAATTTAAGCTGACACTCCTCATTGATTTTGGTGTATTTATTTCTGATTATCTTTGATGTAATTAGATAAAGACTCAGTGCTCTCAGTTCTACTCAATAATATGCAGCCATAGCAATTAGAAAACACCTTAACTTATTTGACCTTATCATAACATATTCATGAATTTGCATCCCAGCTGTTCCTCCACCACATTGCTTTGAAACTACTCTTCAAACACAGCCAAACCTATTGGAAAAAAAGCCAAAACAAAACCAACAAAAAACAGCTCTATTAGTGCTACAAACTCTCAGTCTACTGCCACCACACAGAACATTATTTGTCTTGGACTTAAACCATTCCTAAATTGTTTCCCAGAAAAAAGCCACAACAACATTTTCACATTGAAGGAGATCTCAGCCAGTCTCATAGGTAACTCCTGGACAGAAATGTTTGCCTGCTTCATTAAGCAGTCCACAGCTACAGGCACCAGGATAATCCAGTTAACATTGCTCATGCTACCACCATGCTACCTATGGCAAAAGGACACATAGTTGTTGTCATCTTTAGTTCTATGATGGGAAGTGGTAACACTATTTGTGTACAGCACACAGAGTTTTGGTGGGCCCTACAATTGGAAGATGACTGGTTTTGAGTATACAATTCCTTTTTTCTTAAGTAAATTGTCATGTCCTGTGCTATCATCTTGTCTTAACCCTTCTATGCCCGTATGTCCTGTGGATAGGATACTGTCAAAAAGTAGATCCAAGATTGTGTGAAAAAATTACATGAATAATGCTATAGTAAACATAACACAAGGAGTGGCACATAAATTTCTCAGAAGAGTAGTTCAAAAACAAACATAAACCAGCTTTACCAGGATTTATCTATGACAAAGACATACGTCAGATAGAAACTAATTAAAAGAATTCTGGAACAGGCAAAAGTGAGCAAAAGCAAGCTGGGAACTGACAACAAAATGTTCATTTTGCAAGTTACAGCAATCTTGCTTTCCTAAGACAGAAGACTCCCAAGAGAATTTGTGAAAGAAAAGCTGTTAATTATGCATTGTATACAATTGTATACAATTTGTTAGTCTTTTTTATATAATCAGGCAATATATTGTTGTACACCTTATGGCTGCAATGGTTTGAGACATTAATTCTTTCTGACCACCTATTACTGTTGACGTAACACATGGGGTGCTAGAACACCAGAAGTCTGGTAAATCAAAGAAGGAGGAAGGATAAGATGGGATCCCTCTTCAGTTACTTAGGGGCATTAAGTGGAAGAAACAAGACAATATGGAAGACTGGAATATATTTTCAGAGTTGAGAAAAGAGTGAGACTTTACTATGAATGTCACATGGATTTCCAGCAAAGGACATCCTAATCAGGATGCTCCAGTGTTTCCCTGCTTAGACCCAAACCCAAAAATGAAATTTTAAGCTTCATTGAATCTGACAGTTTATTAGTTCATTTATCTTCTTAGCATTAACATGTAGAAAAGAAAAAGTAATACTATATAGTCATTCTCAGTCATTTTGCTTCCTCTTCTGAAATAATTAGCAGAACCACAGTTTAAATAGGCAAGGGTATTAAACTTTAAAAAGGTGAAATCACTGGAACTCGAAAAACCAGATCTGACAGTAGTCAAGAAATGTATCAGTGCCAGGAAGTACGTTATAAAATTCAACAAATCATAACTTCAAATTACTGCCAAGTTGATTCAGTGCTAACTTCAAAGCTGTTAGTCTAACAGCAGGAA